TTTTTTTTTTTTTTTTTTTTTTTTTTTTTGCTTTTTATCAGCTCTTATATAGTTTTTCTTTTGCTGCTATTATTTTTACTGCAACAGTCCCGTATTCAGATACCATTCAGCATTTCACGCCAAAAGTGCATATTATAAAGGGAATATTTACCACGATGTTGTTTTGTTTGATCACATTTTACACCAAAATATTGCATCACTTTTTGTTTTTAGAACTATTGAAAGTTATATAATATGATAAATATTCAAACTAAAAACTTTTCTGCAAAATTTACACTTTTTTTGTATAAACAGTTTTTTTTTTTCCACTGTACAATTTTATTTGGATTCTGTTTGAACTGCTGTTGCAAAATGTTTTTAAAAAATAGAAAAAATAGTTTAAAAAGAAGCAACACATTCAAAAGATTACATTTTTTGATACCATAATGAAAAATGAAAAAGATGAAAAAAGTGGTATCATAGATAAATAATTGAGCAAATTTAAGATTATTATTTTTACTGTTGATGTCGCTCTTTTTCTTTTTTTTGCCAGAAATAGTTTTTATTTTATGTCAAATATTAAAAAACGGGTGATAAATGAACAATCGTTTTTTTCCTTTGGTTACTAATAATTTAACAGTCTCAGCAATCAATGTAGTGACCCTCCTCCACTCCCCTCCATTTTCTTCCTCATTCCTTCCTTCCGTCAGTATTCGCTTATCGTTTCTATTCCATCTTAGGCATTCCTTAGTGTAAAAAGAAGAAAAAAAACTTTGATGCTAATTGAGAAAACTTCAATGATGATCAATTGAAGAAATTCAATTTGTATTAAATGCATTTTCTTACAAGAAAAAGAGTAGAAGGTTAATAGTTTAATAAAATCTTTGCCAGGATATCTGACACAAGAGACTGATTACAGTCTTTCGTTTCAGGTATTCTGTTTCAGATATAATTTAAAAACAAAAAAAAAATTTCTGTGCAGAAAATAATACAAACGAATAGAAGCTAATGAAAATCAAACCTCATCTAAGCGTAAAGCAGCTTTAGTAAAGATGTCGTTACCTCTGTCCGGCATAATCAACTTTGCATGAGAACATCTAAATACGTAAATCTTTGAATGTAAACCCTTTATTAGAATTATTAACAGATGTACCTATGTATTTACACCAACGTCAGATGCACAGAAACACACACAAACAGAGAGAAAGAGCACCCACAATCGATCGTGTAACGGCTTGAAATAAATACCCGCATAAAACTTTAATTGTTCATAACGGCAACAAAAAAATTAATATATTATTCTCTTTTACTCTGTTTACTCCCCTCATATACCCGTTATCCCACTGTTTGCAACAGCTTTTGAAAACCGTAATAGTTGACAAAGTTGAGCAAAATTTTAATTTATCAAAATTAAAAGATAATAAAAATAAAAACACTTTGTAATTAGACCTTCAAACATACAGCTATACCGACTTCTTCAACTGCTGCACCAAACAGTCCCTCCTGTTTCACAACCATTAAATAACCAAATTGAATAGATCACAGTGCCAAGAAAAAGAAAATAAGGTTGTAGGTAGCTTTAAACTAAATATTTTCCTTAACTTTCAACAAAAGAAGAAAACGAGGAAAAAAGCTAAAGCAAAGCTAACGAAGTGCATCAAATTTTTCTATAACCAGTTAAAGAATCAACGCCAACAATATGCTTTAGAGAAGAAAAATTCAAAAGAAAGTTAGTTTTA